GCTTGCAAATTTTTATGTTGTTAATCTGTGGTATATTTCATTGGTTTCTGCTCTTTCATTATTTCTCCATTTTATTCACTTTGTATTTACTGTGTTCTTTTTCTAACCTCTTAAGGTAAAATCTTAAATCACTGATCATAGACCTTTCTTCTTTTCAAATATAAGCACTTAAGGCTAGAAATTTCCCTCTAAGCACTGCTTTAGCTGCATCTCACAGATTTTTTATTTTGCTGAAGAATTTAAAACATCTAGGTAGTGGGTTATAAGGCTTGATATTGGTAAGATGTAATTTCCCCCAAGTTATCTATAGATACACTAAAATCTCAATAATAAAGACTATCAAGATTTTAATTTTTCTTTACTATTTTTAAATGAGAAGCTGATTTTAAAATTTAAATGGAAATACAGAGGACCTCAACTATCTAAAGCAATCTTGAAAAAAGAAAAACAAAGGGAGAAGACTAATACTGATTTCAACACTTCTTATGATCCATCAGGCATTGTGGTTTGGTTTAAGGACATGTTAACTGAAGGAACAGAACAGAGAGTGTAAAATAGACCTACACTTAGCCAGTCACTGGGTTTTCAACAAAGCAATCCAATAAGGGAAAGGCAAGACTTTTCATCAAGTGGTGCTAGACCACTAGATACCATATGAAAAAGAAAAAAAATAAACCTTGATCACTGCCTCACACTTTGAATATACAAAAGTTAATTCAAGATGGATTATAGACCTAAATGTAAAGCTAAAACCATAGAGCATTTAGCAGAAGGTATAGATTATAATCATGGCAATAAAAAAATTTTAAAAAGTGAAAAATTGCTTTCTGAAAACTAAACATCTGCTTATCAAAAGTTATTGTTAAGAAAATGAACAGAAAACTTCAAACTGAGAGAAAATTCTTTCAAAATGTACGCATGGCAAAAGATTAGTATCCAGGATTAATAAAGATCTCACAGAACTCAATAATATAAAAAACAATGCAATAAAAAATTGGATAAAGATTTGAATGGCTACTTCACAAACTATATAATATATATGAATGATCAAAAAGCACATAGGAAATGTGCAACATTGTTAACCATTAGGGGAATGAAAATTAAAACCCTCGTGAGATATCACCACACATCCATCACCTGAGATCAAATGAAAACTATCCGGGACAATGTGAAGCAATAGGAACTCTTATATGTTGTACATGGAAATGGAAAAGTGGCACAATCACTCTGCAAATGGGCTAGTCATTTCATATAAAACTACACAGGCAGTTACCTTATGACCCAGTATAATGGGTTGAATAGTGTCCCACCCAAACTCATGTCTACCTGGAACATGTGAATGTGGCCTAATTTTGAAATTCAGTCTTTGCAGATGCAATCACTTCAGATAAGGCCATATGATATGATTTATTTTATATAACATTCTTTAAGTTACAAAATTATATAGACAGAGAACATATTAGTGGTGCCAGAGGAAGAGATGGGAGAAGGGAGGAAATTGGCTGTGGTCATAAAAGGGTAGCACAAGGGATCCTTGTGATGTAACAATTCTGTATCTTTAAATATAGTAGTACTTACATGAATGTACATGGGATAAAATTTCATAGAACTAAATAAACCATACATGCTTATGAAAGAGTGAAGGTAAAACTGGTGAAATCTGAATAAGGTCAGTGCATTGTATTAACAGAAATACAAGCTTGGTTTAACAAGAAAAAAAAATCAGTGTAATTCACCAAGTTAAAAACTAGAAAAAAGGAAAAACGTACATGACGTCTTTGAGATCAAAGACGTCAAAAAAACATTTCACAAAAATCCAACATCCACTCCCAATAAAACTCTCATCCAATAAGAACTAGGAGAGAAGTCTGTGAAGCTGATAAAGGGCAGTTATAAAACTTACACTTAGGAGGAAAGCATTCCTCATAAGACCAGGAACAAGAAAAGGATGTCTACTCTCACCATTTAAATTCATCATCGCACTGGGTGTTCTTGCCTGTGCAATGAGGCAAGGAAGGGAAAAAGATACACCAAATGAAAAGAAAGAAGTAAACTATGCTTATTCACAAGTAACATGGTCATCTATGCAGAAAACCCTGTAGAATCCACAAAAAAAGCTACTAGGACTAAGAAGTAAGTTTTGCAGGTTTACCCAATACAATATCATTATACATAAATTAATTGTATTTCTATGCACTATCAACAAACAGCTAAAAATTGAAATTTAAAAATAGGTTAATTTAAATAGCATCAAAAATATGAAACACAGAGATGTAAATCTGACATGAGATGCATAAAACCTGTGTACTAAAAACTACAAAACAATGCTGCCAAAAATTAAGTCTCAAAAAAATGAAGCAATATATTGTGTTCACATATTGGATGGCACAATATTATTTACATGTATATTCCCCACATATTGATATAGATTCAACTCAAACCAAAAAAAATCTCAGCAGGCTATTTTTGGTGAAAAGTACCAAGCTAATTCTGAAATCCATACGGAAATGCAAAAAATCATGAATAACTAAAGCAACTTTTTAAAAAAGAAAAAATGTTGGAGGATTTATACTGAGTTCTAGACTTTTTATAAAGCTACAATAATCAGAACTATGTGGATGTAATACACAGATCATGTATCATAGATATATACTTGAAACCTATATAATCTTATTAACCAATGTCACTCCAATAAATTTAATAATAAAAAAGTACCCCTTTAAAATAAAATAAGACTACATGGTATTGGCATCAAGATATACAAATAGAAGCCCTGGCCAGGTGGCTCAGTTGGTTGGAGCATTGTCCTGTACACCAAAAAGGTTGTGGGTTTGATTCCCAGTCAGGGTACATACCTAGGTTTTGGGTTCGATCGCTGGTTGGGGCACATACAGGAGGCAACCAATCAATGTTTCTTTCTCACCTCTCTCTCTCTCTGTCTAATAAACATATCCTTGGGCGAGGATTTTTTAAAAAGATATACAAAGAAAGAAGTGGGGAAAAAATAGAGTCCCGATATAGACCCATACACATATGGTCAACTGATTTACCACAAAAGTGCATAGGCAATTCAATAAAGAAAGGGTTCTTTCCAATAAATGGTGCTGCAAAAAATATAAATATTTGTATGTGAAAAACCCCAAATGTACTTAAAAATCCAGACCTGGTATCAAGTATAAAAATTTACTCAAAATAAATTATAGACCTAAATGTAAAATAAAAATTATAAAACTTTAAAAATGAAAACAATATATATATGAAAATATTTTTGACCTTAGTTTGGGCAAAGATAGTGAGATTCATGAAAGAGAAAGTTGAAACTTGAACATTAAAATAAAGAATTGCTCTTTGGAATACACTATTAAGAAAATTAAAAGCAAGCCACAGAGAAAATATTTGTAAATCAAATATCTGATAATGGACATCTCTATACAGAACATATGAAGAATTTTCAAAATTTAATAAAAAGATAAGAAACTAATTTTTTAAACGGGTAAAAGAAAATTGAGAAGACATTTCACCAAAGAAGATATATAGATGGCAAAGAAGCACATGAAAAGATCCTCGACATTGTCAGTCATTGGGAAAATGTCAAGTAAAACCAGTTAGACGCCACCACACAGCTAGGAGAATGTCTAAACCTAAAATAATACCAAGTGTTGACAAAGATGCGGAGCATATGGAACTCTCATACACTGCTGATGGGAATGTGTTCACACAAACTTTATTTGTATTTGTCGGAACTCGAGACAACCCAAAGTCTTTCAACAGAATAGTTAAATAAATTGTGATAGCTATATAATGATATACAACTCAGCAACAAAGAGAAATGAACTACTGATCTATGCAATACTATGTGTGAAATTCAAAGTAATTATGTTGAGTGAGAGAATCCACTATGTATTCTGTATGATTCAATTCCTCTGAATTCCAGAAATGTAAACAAATCTATGATGGAAAGCAGATCAGTGGTTTCCTGGGAATGGGAGTGGGGGGTACAGGACAGTGAGACAACAGTGGTGACCGTTTCATGGCTATATACATATGTCAGAACTTAACCAAATTTAACACTTTAAATATATGTAGTTTATTATACTTTGATAATTTATCATATATAATTATCCCTTAACCATTACATCATAATAACACGTTTTTCTATTATACCATAATTATAGCTTATATAATAGTTTTTAAAAATTGGGCCAAAGCTGTGAATTTACTGTAAAGTGCAAGTCCAGATGTATGGTTGTATTTAGAAGCCAAATAAATAAATAAAAACAAAAACAAAATGACAGGAATATTGAAAATAAAACAATGAAAAAAGACAAATCACAAAAAATTTACCCTTACCTCCCAACATTCACATAAAATTAAGACCTATAATGTTCACAGAATTTATATGGAATTTCTACAAATCAGTAACAGAAAGAAACAGCCCAAATAAAAAGGAGGGATGCAGAAACTGGATTCTCAGGCAGGGGAGGAGCAAAATACAGCCAGGGAGGGCACAGGGCTGAGGTCTGGACTTACAACATTTATTAGGCTACAGGGAAGGCACAGTGGCACTCGCTGCATAATTCTTTATACCCTGTTGTAATCTTAAATAAGCCATCATAAAATAAAAGGAACAAAGCTAATGGAAGTATGGGCTAGAACCAATGCACAAAAATGTTACCAGGTCAGGAACAGAAAGGGGACAGTATCTAGCAGGGGCAGAGGACATAGGCTCAGAGGGCAAGTACTATGTTGAAGGTCAAGCCAACCAAGAAAAGCCCCCAAATAGGGACACCTTAGAGGTGCTGGAGGTGGGATGCCAAGTGAGCAGAGTGAGTGGGGGAGGAGGGCAGTGTGCCAGGGAGGCCCTCTCTGGGGTGAGCAGGAGGGCGTGGAAGGGAGGCCTGAAGAAGAGCTTCCCCCCAGGAGCTCACAGGCGCGACTCCTTCCGCACCTGCTGAGCGCCTCGGGGCTGTCTCCTTGTCTGCCTGGTGCTTCCCACTCACCTGGACAGGGGTCCAGAAGACATTCGCGCTCCTCTCTCCAGGGCTCATCCCCTTGCTCCAGTTGTGTGATGAGTTTGGGTTTGGAAAAGGCAATTCCTACTCACAGGAAAAGAAACCAAGGTGACCTTGTGCTAGTGGATTAAAAGGCTGTCACAGAACTGAGTCAGCTGGGGAATGCAATAACCCAGAAGGGGGTGAGGAAGCCCACAGGAGGGCAAAGGCTCTCTGAAAGCTACCAAAGAATGACTGAGGGAGGGGGTAATCCGGCCCTAAAGGCAGTACATGGATTCTCCCCGTGCCTGAGTGAAAAAATATTCCCCCTTTGAAGCACCATCTCTTGGGAGGAAGAGGCCTGGAAACAGTCACTTAATGGGATGAAACGCAGTAAGACTCCGCATACACACCCATAAATAACCACTACTTCCAAATCTATAGAATCCAGTCATTTTCTGGGGGTAAAGGGACAATGGTATTGTTCGTTCTCAGCCCAAAGCATGGTGGCTGCTGCATAGACCTTGAAATGCCCACAGGCAGACTCCAAGGCCTGAGAAGGGCCGTCCTTACCCAGCGACACCAAGTGGCTGTAGGTCTCCAGCATTACATCCTGATACAGGGTCCTCTGAGCAGGACTCAGTAGTTTCCACTCCTTCTCGGTGAAGGCCACAGCTACATCTCTGAAGGTTATTAATGCCTGTAACAGAAACACATCCCTGCTCACCCAGGAGCCAGCCACAGCCACTAATCCACTTTACCTAAGCTCCTAACCAGCGCAGAGGCAGCAAGAAGGCTGCCATGGGGCACCTGGACGAGGCCCACAGATCCGGCTTCTAACCTGAACCCCGATGCCACGTGTTCAACACTATAAATCCCCTGCCCACGTTGCTGGTAAGTCTACTTAGGAGTCCTCTGTTCTGCTCAGTTGATCTCTACGTCTGTGCCGCTGTCAAAAACAGTTCTGATGACTGTAGCTATGCAGTAGGCCTTGAAATCAGCTGGCTGATTCCTCCCACTTCATCCTTCATTTTGGCTCCTCTAGGGCATGTGCCTTTCCATATAAACTTAAGAATAAACTCATCAGTAGCAACCAAAAATACTGCTGGATTTTTTACGAGATTTGCATTAGACCCATGTATCAACTGGGGGAGAACTGACATCTTTACTATATGTTGACTCAGCTCCATGAACTCATTGCTGTGTCTCCTTTTACTGAGATGTTCTTCGATCTCCTTCATCAGCATTTGGGGGTTTTCAGCATGCAAGTCCTATATACATTTTCTTAAGAATTTCTCCTCTTTTTTAAATTATATTTTTCATTTCAGTGACTGTATGTTCATCGCTATGAAACAGAAATACGATTGTCTATCTTCAGTCCTGCAACCTGGCTGAACTCACTTATTAGCTCTCAGAGTACTTTTTCTCCTAGGTTCCTTGAGATTTTTCTACATGGAAAATTATGGCACTTGCTCACGGGGACAGGTTTATTTCTGCCCTTAGAATCTGTATGCATTTCATTTCCTCTTCTTGACTTTATTCTAGCACAATAATGAATAAGAGTGGTAAGAGCAGACATCCTTGCCGTGTTGATATAAGGAGGGAAACTTTATGTCTCCAGCATTAAGACTACTGAGATACCACATCACACTCATTAGGACACCTATTACCAAAGAGACAGAAAAGAACAGTTTTTGACAGGGACTGGAGAAATGAGAACTTCGTGCATCGCTAGTGAGAAAAGTAAAATTGTGCTTTCTATGGAAAAGAGTTGGGCAGTTCCTCAAAAAGTTAAACATACAGTTTACCATAGACTCCAACAAATGACTGAAAGCAGGGACTCAAACAGATAGNCATAGACTCTAGCAAATGACTGAAAGCAGGGACTCAAACAGATAGCTGTGCACCAATGTCCATAACACATTACTCACATTTGCTCTAAGGTGGAAACACCCAAATGTCTATGAACAGATAAATAAAGAAAATGTATTATGTACAGACAATTGTATATTGTGCAGTCTTAAAAAGGAAGGAAATTCTGATTCATGCTACATCATGGATTAACCTTGAAGACATTATGCTAAGTGAAGTAAGCCAGTCACAAAGGACAAATATTGTTTGATTCCACGATAGCAGGTAAGCAGAACGGGCAAATTCATAGAAATAGAAAGTGAAATAGAGGTTACCAGTAGCTGGGGAGAAATGGGGAAGGGGAAGTTATTGTTTAATGGATGGACTTTCACTTTGGGAAGATAAAAAAGTTCTGGAAATGGAGAACGACGGCTGGACAACACTGTGAATGTACTTAGTGCAACTGAACTGCACAATGATTCCTCACTTAACATTCTCCATAGGTTCTGTGACTTTAAGCAAAATGATGTGTAATCATTTTACCATAGGCCAATTGATATAAACCAGAATTAATTTCCTACAGTATCTCAGCATTAGAACAAAATGACATTGAAGGAAAACACATTATTCAAGGACCCAATATATACTTAAAAATAGTTAAAATAAGAAATTTTGTTATATGCAATAACAAGTACATTAGCTATAGATTTGTTGTGGACATTCCTAAAAAATAGAGGAGTTACCGTCAGTTCCTACTGTTCTGTTTCTTTTCACAAACGGGTGTTGAATTTTGTCAAATACTTCTATGGCATCAACTGCTGGAATCATGTGGTTTTGATCTTCAGTCTGTCAATATAGTGGGTTACATTAAGTAAGTTTCAAATATGGATCCAGTCTTGTATCCCTGTAATAAATGGTACTTGGTAATGGTGTACAGTTGCTTTTATATAGTGTTGAATTCAATTTGTTAATAATCTAAGGATTTTCATGTCTATAGTCTTGAGACATGTTGATGTCCAGTTTTAGATTTATCTATTGTCCTTATCTGCTTTCGATATCAGTTTAATACCTGCTCCATAAAGTGAATTGGAAAGTGTTCCCTTCTCTTTTATTTTCTGGAAGAAATTATCTAGCATTGGTGTTAAGCCTCCTTTAAACATTTGGCAGAATTCCCCAGTAAAATCACCTGGGCCTACAGATTCCTTCTGTGGGCGTTTTTAAATTTCAAATTGGACTTCCTTAAAAGTTATAGGGTAGTTCAAATTATTCCATATTGGGAAAGTTAAGGTAGTTTTTGTTTTTCAAGGAATAGGTTCATTTCATCTAAGTTTTCAAATTTATGAGTGGATATTCTTCTGATGGCTACAGAGTTGTAGGAATATCCCTTGATACTGGTAATTTGTGTCTACTGTCTCTTATTTAGTTAGTCTTCCTAGATGTTTTCAATTGTTTTTTCAAAGAAGCAGTTATTTCACTTTTTCTCTATTTTCAATTTCATTGATTTCTGCCTTTATCATTATTATTTCCTTCCATTTTTCCAAGTTTATTTTGCTCTAATTTTTGTAGGTTCTTAAGGCAGAAGCTTAGAAGACTGGCTTAAGACAGTTTCTGTTTTCTAACATACATGTTTATTTAGTGCTACAGGTTTCCCTCTCGGGACTACTTTAGCTATATTTCACACACTTTGATATATTGTATTTCCTTTTTGTGTTCTTTTTATTTCCCTTGTGACTTCATTTTTTATTCATGGATTATTCCTTCTAGCACGTTATCTATTTTCTAAGTGTTTAGAGATTTTTCTGTTAATTTTTTTTCTTACTGATTTCTAGTTTGATTCCACTGTGTTCAGAGAACATACTTTTGTATGATTTCAGTTATTTAAAACTTATTACAGTAAACAAGTTTTTGTTTTGTTTACAGCCCAGGATGTGTCTATCTTGCTATATGTTTTTGAGGGCACTTGAAAAGTATATGTACTTTGTTATTATTGGGTGGAATGTTCTATAAATGTTGATTAGATTCTGTTGGTTGATAGTGTTGACAAATTCTTATTGATTTGGGGTCTAGCTATTCTATCTACCTCTGAGAGAAAGGTGTTTAAGTCTTGAATTGTTGATTTGTCTATCTCTCTTTTCAATTTTTTGTTCCCCTATTTGAAGCTCTTTTATTTGATGCATACACATTGAGAAGCATAATGTCTTCCAGGTGAACTGACCCTCTGTGTCCGGTAAACTCTCCCTGCTTTGAAATCGACTTAACCTTTTAGTCATATAGTCACTCCTGCTTTACTTGGTTGTTTGTACGATGCAGCTTTTTTAACCCTGTATTTTAACCTGTCCACACACTGCATATGAACTTTCATTTAGACAGCACATAGGAGTTTTTTTTAATCCACTGTGCCAGTCTCTCTTTCAGTTGGTGTATTTAGAGCATTCTAATTTTGTTTCTTCTTTTTGTTTCTCAGTTTTCTTATTACTGACTTCTGGTGGGTTACCTGAGCTTTTTCAAAAATTCTATTTTGATTTATCTATAGTTTTTTTAAGTATATCTCTTTGTATAGCAGTTTTAGTGGTTCTAGGTGTTACATTATGTATACATAACTTATCAATCTACTGCTCATGTCATTTTACCAGTTTGAATGAAGTATAGAAACCTTACCTCCAAATATATCCTCTTGCCTTTCTGACTTAAAATGTAACTTTTTAAAGTACTTCTTCTATATACATTTGGAATCATATCAGACCATTTAATTATTTTTGTTTCAAACACCAAAATTAGCTTAGAAAATTTATGTGTAGGAGTACCACCTACTGTATTTACCCATATTTTCCATACTGTGTTCTTTTTCATCTTGATTGCGTCAAGGTTCCCAAGACCACCCTCAGGTTTGATGTTCACTAGGAGGACTCACAAGACTCACCATATAGTTGTATGCATGGCTACAGTGACAACAAAAGGACACAAAGCAAAATCCACAAAGGGAAATGGTATGAGAAACAAAGTCCAAAGGAAACCAGGAACTAGCTTCCAAGAATCCTCTCCCAATGGAGACACACATGACCCACTTAATTCCTTCAGCAATGACTGTGACAACATGTGATAATGTTGTCTAACAAACTCATAAAAGGCTGAGTATTAAACTTTTTTAGTAGGAGCTGACCACACAGTCAGCCTCTGCCTAGCACATATTAAAATTTGAGATCTCAGAGATTAAAGATGGTGGTTGACTGAGTGCAAGCTACACTGATGGTCTCCTGGGATCAAACTGGAAATACAACTAAAATATAGAAAAACCATCCTGAATGACCCACTGCAACTGAAGACGAGCTGGAAAGCACCCTCATAAACAAGGAGGAAAAGTGGAGACCACACAGACTGGTAGGAAGTATGGAGGGACCAGAGGGATGGCTGGGCTCCCACAGGCAGTAGCTGAAGGCCTGGAGGGATATCTCAGCTGTGGGGGTTTCCCACTGAGGACTCTTCCCAGCCAAGAGCACCAGGAATGAGAAAGATGCCCACATAACAAGTGGCTGTGAAAAGCAGCCAGGTTTCTGTCTGTCAGGGAGACATGGCTGGAAATGCAGGCAACTTCTTAAAGTTTTGTGTGCAGCCACTCATCTTGGGCTCCAGAAGAGGGAGGGCAGAGTGGACTGGAGCTATGTGAGGAGAATCTAGGACTGTGGGCTCTGGAGATAGAGCTCAGAGGGCACCCCTCTTGATTCCTGTGCCGAGTCATTCCCCCTTACTGCAGAGGCAGACATTTACCTTCTAAGCAGCTTTTGCCTGAGGGGGAAGCAATTGCCACACCCTGCTGGAAAACCTCTCGCCCTACCCTGAGGAGTTTCTACA